TGTGTGTGTGTGTGTGTGTGTGTATAAATATTAAAATTTCATTAACTATATTTTATTTAACTTTTTCGAATTATTTGAATACGATTTGTTGATGATTCTATTAACAATTAATATATATTTATATAGACAATCCTCAGATCATTAATCAAAGTAMTCATACTACTGCGCAAYGCGCTKTTCCCATACTAGTATTATATAATAAAACAAGTTATATTGATTGTTTGTAGAGTAGTATGGTATGCTCAAATAGTTACTATTTGAAGACCAATTATCAAACACTTTTAGGTTCCGATGAGAAGAAAAGTTAAGGTGTGAAGCGTAAGAAGGATTTCCACCCTTGGATGCATATTAGGACGAGATGCATCGAGATGCATCAAATCAATTGTCATATCAAACGTGATTCATGGGTGGATTTGAGAAAGGTGATCGAGGATTCATATCTCTTCTTAGGTTTCTCATCTTAACTCTTCTTCTCACAATCCTTTGCCTTAGGGTTTGGGATTTAGGGCTTGGGGTTTAGGATTCAGGGTTTAGGGTTTCAGGTTCTGGTTTTGAGGTTTTTTTGAAGAAAAAAAGAACTTACAAAAAAGAAATGGGCATACCCATTTTTACAAAACATTTTCCCAAAAAATGTTTAGGGAGGAACACAAATAAGGGCCTATTCAAAAAAACCAGAATCCAATATCAAAAATCAAAACTTGAAAGAAAAAAAAACCATGTAAATTTTCTTCTTGAAAGCAGCCTTATGTTCGAACTGCCTATAGGGTGATACTTCAATAAATCTTACAATTTTATTTTCTTGTGATCAGACAGTCTTGTTATTGATACAAATGAAATCCATATAGTTTTTTATCTTCTTTTAGGTAAGTGGCCTCATGCTAGCAAGTTACATTGGAATTCGACATCTATTCTCCAAGTGTTTGAGTCAGTATTCTCTCCTAAGAAAAAGGCAAGCCTTTCTCGACAAGTACAAGAGTTTCCCTATGGTTGGTATAAGTTTTTGCTCACTAGTGTCGTGTCATTATTCCTGCTAGTGTGTTTATTAATGTAGAACATATATATTTTTACTGTTATTCTAAGTGTTGCCATACAACAAAATCGGGTTTATAAGACGCCAACAATGTTTTAAGTGTCCTAAAAGATGACTTTATAGGTCTTAAGTTTATCAAAGAATGTTATAATAAGTTTATAAGATGCTTTTGAGCATCTTAACAATATTTTTAGGATATTTTTAAAATAAAGCATGATATTAGTTATTTTATTAGACACCTTGGAGAAGTGTTTATAAACACATATTTATTTATTTATAAGACACTTGGTTTTATTAGACACTTTTTTCAAATAGTATTCTATAAAATAGCTAATACGCCACTTTATTTGAAAATGACCTAAAAGGTTTGTTAAGATGCCCAAAAGCGTCTTATAAAACTTATTGCAGCACCTTAGATAAGACGCTTTATCGTGTGGTCCTATAAGACAGTCTATTGGTATACTTAGACATTTTTTGTGTCCTATAACCCCAATTTTGTTGTAACGTTGAAGGGAAAAAATGGGCTAATTTCTTTAAGAACCAAATATGTTTTATTGCATATTTTGAAATTCATCAACTTTTGCTTCTATGCACCCACCCTTTTTCCAGGATCTTTCAAAATTCGATGAGTTTAAAGACTTACTTGACAGTTTGGTCGATGAATATAAGGCGTGCGAGTCCCCAGATTACATCAAATGGAGGATGGAAGCATACACCGAATATTTGAATTTATCGTTTCTGGTTTTGGCCCTCGCTAACGACTTCACATGTGTTGTAGGATCTGGACCATACTTTGACCGACCAAGGATTTGATATTGGAACAGTCGATCCTACTTACCAATATGTATAATGTAGGTGTGTTAACTTTTGGCTGGTATTTTCTAATCTTGTTTATGTAAAGTTGTTACATTGGCATACCCCTGGTGCATAAGTAAGTTGGTTTGACCTAATCGAGGGTAGAATCACGGCGGCGACATGGTGCATGGCGAGAAGCGACCCCGCAGAGGACGTGTTGCAGATGGCATTAATTACGCTTACGGTGCCAGAGCAGATTGCTTGCCGATACAAGAATCCGGTCCGTGTTTTTGTCCGAACATCATCCAGGCGCATGCTTCCTATGCTTTCAACAGTTATTACATGCGTACTTCCATGGTTACCGGCTCTTGTGTCTTCTCCGGCACCGCCACCATCGCCAAAACTGATCCCAGTTAGTGCAAATTTACCATTTTCTTCCCTTCACAAACACGAATAATAATATCGGTTTCTTAACCTAATATTCTTTTTTGGTGTATTTTTGTCCTTCTAGGTTATCGATCGTGTGTTTATCCGGCCTCTCCAAGGTATCACTATCACCTCCTTTTTTCTCAAGTTCCACTTCCTCACCAAGTCAATCAGAACACAACACAGATATAGATGGAACTGCAT